TGTTAGTTACAGCCTTGGCGATGTTACACATAAGTCTAAATTACAGGACCTATTGCAGTCTAGTTGCAGGCTTGACCTTGTATTTCTCTTTCAAGTCCCGCATATGTATGTTATATGGTCCAATGCTTCTATGCCATTAAAGAGAAATGGGTGTCCTCCATGTGATGCAGTAATTGTAGCTTGTGATCTGCTCACGGCTGAGGAATAGACATGTTCTCAGCCTGCTACAGTGTCTTGATTTATGTCTGGCAACGAGCTTCGACTAGCTCTGCATTTATATTTGGAACGAAAAGTGAATGACAGCTGCTAAAACTTCCAGTCGCTTGGTTCTGAAACTACAATACCAATTTAAAATGTTTTTAGGCTAGCATGTGAAAGGTTGTGTTCTTTTGGGGCCCCCTGACCTGCACCATGTTGTCCGCTTGCCTCCCACGTGGCAACATGAGAAGGTCACTGCTGCCTGTCGGTGGAAGCAGGTGCTCCTGTCTGCGGCAAAGGTATGCTGAACGGTAGCACGCTTCAAAGGTTGGAGTGATGTAAATGGCCTGCCCAGACTTTGGTCCTAGAAAAGCAGTCCCTGAAGGACACAGGCTGTCTGGGATCAGGTCTGGGCCTTATGAGAATCCTCTCCTTTCCTTCTGTATTGAATATGGTTTGCTGGCAGAAAGTGTGCCAGAGTGTGCTAGTCCTTAGGACAGTAACTCTTGAAAAAGTCCCTGACAGCAAAGCTAAATCCCTAATCATAAGAAGCAGCATTTATTTAGTTGGGGATTTGATCTTGTTTGTTTGCTTGTTTGTAAATCTTGCTGTCTGTTTTGACCTATGTTTCAGTGAAATAAAGATGTTCCTTCTTTTCTGTTCTTCTGGTAAATGTGTATTGCAATGCATAATTTTCAAACCGAGGTGGTTCTCAGAAGGTATTGTTTTTGTTGGGGACAGATAAAAAATTGATGTGATGAAATGTGTTGGTTTTCTTTCAAGGAGCCTGTCAATCCAGCACAAGACTTAAAAGATCCGGAGAATTAAAATGCACAATTTACCTCCAAGGTCATCTTCAATATGGGGAGTGCTGTCTATTACATCCACAGGAGTTGGTTTCCAGTGGTAAGTGGTAACTGTTTCTGCTGGCAAGCTGCCTGGAAGGTGGTCAATGACTTATGAATCCCAGAAACACTTCTGGGCATGGCAGCCCTAGGAGCTGCCACGTTCCGCAGACCGGAGTGTCAGTGCATTCCGTTCTGTCCCACAGATAGGAAGGTCCTTCCTTCCGGAATCACTTTGCTTTTAATCCCAAATTTGAAGTGTTCAAACTATGCACTTGCTTGGGGCTTCACATCTTCAGAGCTGGCAAAGAAACCCTTTTGCAGGTGAAAGAGAAGATACTTGCTTAAGTTAGCACTTTTTGTTTTCAAGGCTTTCTAGATTTTAGAATTCACATTAATGGGGAAGTTAGAATTTTTAAAATTAATGTTGTCCCCCGGTTCCGATATCTCTGCCGCCCAGTTTGCACAGTTAAAAAGATGGCAATGTTCCAATTGCTTCTTTTTTCCCCTAGTCTGACTAGTTCTCTTGTGTAGAACGTCTCCAGGTATCTTATGACAAAGCAAGGCCATGAATAAAACCAAGGGTCTGCAGAGCACTTAACTGGCCTTGCAGCTCCCTGAAAAAGGCACTGTACTTGTACTGAGCTTGTATTGAACCTTAGCATCCTCTCTGCAACTCCAGAAAACGTGACGTCACGGCGTAGGCGTATATGCAGGGAGCATCTTCCAGCAGCCCTTCAGAAGTTTCCTTGTGAAGGGAGGTGCTGTGAACTGTTCTACAGCTTTGGAAAATTTCCTGATTTTTTTTTTTTAAACTTAGTTATTAAAGGTCCATTATTGCACAGTGGCAGACCTGGGAAATGGAGCCTGGACTTCCCAGTTATTCTAATTGCTGGATAGCTTTGTCTGATGGGAATTGACCCAGCATACTTTAAAAGATAGTGCTTTGGGATGGCTGAAATACCAGGCTCTTTATAAGGAATGAATTGCCAAACAGCAGATCTAACAAAGGTTAAGGGTTGCTCTGTACAGGGTAAGTTTTACTTTTCCATCTGTGTTCCAGTTGGAAGACATTGAAAGCTATCGAGTTACCCTGGATCTAAACGTGGGTAGTGAGCTGATTAACGTCGGGTTTGTTGTTGTTGGCAGCATTTGTCTATAGATTTACAAAGACTTTTAAATTTATAGGGTAATATTGTGATTATCTGAAAGCATAAGATGAGCCATAGCGATTACAGGCATGAAATCCTACTTCAAGTATTCAAGCTTCATCTCTCTTTTTAATCAGAAGTTCCAATCTTGCGTTCCCAAGAAAAATAAGAGGACAAAATCCATCGGAAGCAGCGGGTGAAGTGTTCTAATGGTAGTACCTTTACTGCCCCTTTCTTCCACATCGCATTTCTAGCCATCAGGCTTTAATATGCCTGTGTCCAACAGAAGGAACTAGAGTTCCTTCAGTTCTTCTTTGCTTTGTAGCCCCATGTGCTTACCATTTCTTAACTTCTGAGCTAAACAGATAATCCTTCTGAAGTGATTACTGTAAAGGCTCTAATTTTCAATCCTCTGGTTACTGGACTGACTATTTGAATTTAGTTCGTTCTTTTACCACTTTTTCTGGAGAGTGATTGCCAGAAGTGGATATGACATTCCCATTGCCGTTGCACCTCCCACGTTTTGTGCAGCCAAGCCCTTCGGTCGCAGTGTCTTACCCAGCGTCTGTGCCCACCTGCTTGTCTTCCATCACCCTCTGCATTTTTTTTAACGTCTGCTTTTTCACACGACAGAGTGCTACAGTCTGAAAAGCACTTTTCTGACCATGGCTAGACCTTGGATGCAGTGAGACACATTTTTGCCTGCTTCCAGGTAGACTGCTTTCAAGGAGTTTTCTTTGTCTTTGTTGCTTACTTATCACAGCTTGCATGAGCTGGGATCTTCTTCAGAGTCTGGGCTTTTTTTGTGACTTTTAATAACATATTAAATAGTTCAGGCCTGAGAACACATTCTTGTATAAACTGAATGCAAATGTACACAATCATTAATGATTTTTCAGTTACAGTCATATTATAGGACCTACTAGTTAGCCAGCTTTACTCTCTTTAATGTGTCATGTTGTTTTGGAATCGGTTTAGTTCCCTAATCAAGGTGTCATGCAGTAGCCAACTCTAATGTATTACAGAGCTTTTAGTAAATTGCATCAACACTATCGCTTTAAAAACAAAACTAATTCCATTGTTTTTCCCAGGATTGGTGGCACAGAAGCAGGCTTATGATTTGATTACTCGTACTTTGGAAATATTGGGGGGGAGGGGGGCTGGCATTTTTCCAATCATCTGCAGCTTTCCTGGTTTTCAAAACCTTATTAAAAATTGATATTGATGGGCAAGCTTGCTTTTCAGCTTTCACAGTATGGAACAGTCCCTCGAGAACAGGTTGCATAGCCAACATCTGTGAAGGGGGAGACCTGTGCCCTGCAGCTTAGGAGGGTTAAATTACCCAACCCTGCCCCCAAGTTAGGAAACGGAGTCAGAGGCTGATGCAAAGGTAGGTGCCTTTCATGAAATCTCATTGCCAGTGAGCACTGAACACCCTGGTGTGACCAGAAACAGCCAAGCAGCCTAGGTAGCTCCCTTCTAAACAGAAGAACGCAAAAGGATCTGAAAGTGCAAAATAAAGCTGCTTATTTTTTGTGGGACTGGCCAAAGAGCGTAAGGCTCAGCCCTTAACAGTTGCCTGAATGGAAAGGATGTCAAATTCATGTACTGCCTTTTACTGTTGCGGCTGCAGTTCACTCCTCCTCTGGTCTCTAGGCTTGGTTTGCAGTCTCGGTTCCTGCGCGTTTGCTGTGCCTTCAACAGCGTGTTCGCTGGGACGGAAAGTGCTCAAGTGGTGGCCCTGTCACGTAGCGTGCTCCGAGTTGTGTAATCAAGTATTTCATAGGGTTTTAAAACTACCAGTGCAGAGAAGAGAAAGCACTAAATAAAATGCCTGTGGAGGACAACAGTGAATTAGGTCATCTATTAAATTTTTCATCTCTTGAGTCTGCTCAAGCCCAGCAGCATCTAAAGCAGTATAAATCTGAGGATTCATGGTCTTAAAATGGGAAAGTAATGGATGAGAGAGAGACAAGGAGCTGTATTCCTTTCCCCCTTTTTTTCTTTTTAAATTCAGCAGAAGGACTTTTGTTGGCAAAGCTGATCGTGAATCCACCTCAGGTTTATCAGCCTCCTTTCATATCAAGCTGAACATGAATCTGTTGCCAAAAGGGAACTATTTCGTAGCAGGGTGGTTAATACAGCATGGATAAAAGACATTTGCAAAGTCTGGTGCAACTCAGAGAGGAGCAAAATTATTTTATTTAATACAGGATAAATCTATACAAATCAGACCAGAAGAAAAGTCTCTTGTCTTAACTTTCCTCCTCTCCCCTCCCACCACTGCAGTGGTATAACCAAAATTTAAACTACCGTACATGGGCGTAGCTCCCTTGCTGTCACTGGAGGTATGCTGACTCATGCCAGCAGAAAATACGATCCTTGTGCCCTATAGTAGGTTTGCTAGTTTTTGGTGATTTCCCCTTGTTTTTACTGGTTCAAGTTGTTTTCTCAGGACACTGTTGCACCATTTGATAGCCTAATATATACTAACGATAGGGTGATAATAATATTCTACGACGTGCCTTCTCTTCCTTGACTTTTCATCCTATTGCTTGCTCCTTGAAACTTTTTATCAGCACTTGAACAGGGAAGAGGAGAAATTATTTTTCATCCTCTGAGCCTGTTAGCATCGTGATGCAGAACAGGGTGAAAAAGGTTTTGCTTCTGCTTTGTGATTAAAAATAAGCGAGATGTGTAGTAATTTCTGTTACCTTCGCTTAGCAGAGTGAAGTCTGGCGAAGTTCCTCTGTTTGTATTTCTGACTATCTGGCGCGGGGATGCTTTGTGCAGTTTGGGTTGATGCAGACTAGGTGGAGTAAAAGGAGCCTGCAGGGTGAGCAGCGCAAGGCTGAGGAAACATGTCTGAAAACAGACTGCAAATGGGCGAGATAAACAGGATCCCCAGGCTGTGACTGAGTAGGCAGGCCTCTTTAATGGCTCTTAGCAACGCCCCTGCTTTGACCCTCCTCATATGTGAGGAAAATCAAATCAATACACTGTTCTTCAAACCACGATGCTGCAGCCGCAGCAGGGCATTGTGGCAGCCTTCGTCTCTTAAATTCATCAACGCTTTTCAGTTTGCTGCTCTCTGGATATCTGTCCCTGCATCTCTGCTGAGGAAGACCCTGACCGCATCTTTAATCGGATTGCTTGGGCTCCCATGTACAACCTTCTTCTTATTAGCAAGTATTAGGTAGGCAATTTTAAAGTGCTTTTGAATTTGCAGGCAGCTTTAACATTGATCTGAGAACTCTATTGTATTCTCTGTAAACATAGCAGAAGCCTCTCTTTAAAACCTATTCTTTTTAAAATCTTGCTTTTCTTCTGTTTTTGTGGTTGGGCAGGGGGGGATTTCTGTTTTTTCCTTCTTTTTAAAAAAAGATGTTGTAGCCGGTTTGTGCTTTTGGAAAAGGATATTCCCTCGTTGATCCCTCCCCTGTTCTGCAGAACAGCTATACCCGGTGCCGTACAGCTACTTTCAGTGTTGATGAACATCTGTTCAACTGTCTAACGTATAGGGCAGGCTGCTCACTCTTTTATTCTTTGATTTTCCGGTGCGTACTTCAAGGCGGCAGATCAGGACTCGACCCACTAAGGAAGTTCTGCTTTGGTTCCAGAGATGGCTAACAGAGGACCAAGCTATGGCTTAAGCCGAGAAGTTCAGGAAAAGATTGAACAGAAATATGACCCGGAATTAGAGTCTAGGCTGGTGAACTGGATTATTGTACAGTGTGGAGAACAGATAGAGCACCCTCCTCCTGGAAGGCAACATTTTCAGACCTGGCTGATGGATGGAACGGTAAGTGTTTTGTCCAGTTGTATACTGGCATGGGTTTATAGGCACAGTGTCCTTATTTTCTGCCTTCATCTAGCTAAATTGGTCAGCGCTCATGGCCAGTGCATAAATAGATATCTTAGCATCTGATTTATTTCCTTCTGACCAGGAATCTTAATATCAGAAAATAATTATTCTACAAGCCCGCTGGGATTAGCACAGCGCTTATGATTCTTATGAGTCATGCATGTTATATATGAGTATGACTCATTTCTTCAGCACCTGTTCTCATACAGTTAAATGAGATCCGTTTTCAAATCAGACATATACTTTTGTTTTTAAGAAATAATTAGTGTTGACAAGGAAAGGTGAAGAGATACAGAAAATTTGAAGGATTGGATTATGTCATAACTGTTTTCTTCTTGGGAATAATTCTGTAGCTAAAACATTGTATTCCATTGGTTTATTGAACAACAGGCAGATGCTGCTGTTTGCAGTGGGCTGTAAGAATACGCTAATCATTGAATCTCTGCCAAAGTGACTTTAACAATATTTCAATTGACATTGCTTATTTTTTTGGCTCAGGCATGTGGTTTCTTCTCTGTCAGTTGTTACATAACCTTTACCAGTGATTGCTTTGTTGTTTCTAGCAGATTAGGATTTATAGGGTCAGGCTATTGCCATCAGTTAATGAAAGCTTTAATGCATTTCTAATATACTTTGAATATTATCGATTCGCTTTTTTCTGTTTTTTAATTGAAGAAATTATGTCCCTGACAGAAACTGGCCAGGTCAAAAGCATTTTGCAGCATCATTTCATGTGCAGAAATTGCCTCCTGGTTTGGTGACTGCTTTCTAATTTTGTTTCTGTATTTCTCTCTCAGCTGTTATGCAAGTTAATAAACAGTTTACATCCAAAGGGAAATGAGCCCATTGCAAAGATCTCTGAATCAAAAATGGCTTTCAAGCAGATGGAACAAATTTCGCAGTTCTTAAAAGCTGCTGAAATCTACGGAGTAAGAACAACAGATATTTTCCAGACAGTGGATTTATGGGAAGGTAAAAATAATAAACTGGAAGTCAGCTTGCAGTCTTCATTTTACTTTGCTTTGATGTGTTGTAATGGTGCATTTTGTCTAAGGCATATTCTCTAATGTAATTATCTTTTGTTTCTGTTTGCCTTACCTCATTACCATGTTCCTCCCGTGGTGCATTATCTCCTCTGAGGGATTTACATTGCCCTGAGGGCATAACGGAGCCTTTCCAAGCTCATATGTTATCCAAAAGCCCATCATTCTGATAGAAATCCACAGACCTAGTAAAACAAATGTTTTCTATGCTAATTATTTCCAAGTAAATAGCTTTTAATAGCAAACATAGAAAACCCTTATTTTCTGATGACAAAATTTTATTGCCGTTCTCAAATTACAAGCAAAGCTTAAATTAGAGCTGTAAAATGCATTCCCAGGAGCATATATGCCTCTGTGGAGCTTATGAGGGCTCATTTATGACTAGCGAGAAGCAGAACTCGCTGCTAACACCATGCTAGCTGAGCATCTCTCTCTAAGGATACAGTCTTTTTAGAGAGGTCACTATGGCAACAGAAAAAAAAAATTCAGAGTGCCCCTGTGGTTTTGCAGTAACCCAGGTGAAGGCTATCTCCATCCCATGCTCGAAGTGGAAACTGAAGAGCTGAGTCATCTGTGCGTTCCTGTGGCTGGTTTTGCCCGCTTCCGTGGTGGTGCATCTCTTCCCGGTGCTCTTAGCAAATACACTGTGTATCCTGCATCTCTCTGGACAAGGTGGTGCAAAACGCTTTGTGTGAAGGCTCAAAACAAGGACAGCTGCAGGGCAGCAAAAGCATCAAAAACCTGCCATGAGAATCACGCAGTGGAAAGAGGAAAGCGATCCCGTGAGGAAGCTGGTTTGTGTAGGAACACAGAAGGAGCAAAAAAGTGGGGTCTATTTTCACAGGCTGTCGGGATATGTGAAAGAGGTCGCTCCTCTGAAGGACAGTGCGAGGAATGAATGACGAGGTAGCTCTTTGTGGATAGGTTGGAAGGGAAGGACATTCTGACAGCTGGAGTTCCTGCGATCTGTAATGTTCTCAGGGTGCCAGATTTGCCTGACAAATCCTGTCTTTGGGCACAAGGGCAGGACAGTTTCTGCCAGTTCAGTCTTCAGTGTTTCATCCAGTCTACCTTTAACTGTCTTAAATGAAGGGATTTTCACTTCCCTGAGTAACACCCTCCCCCCTCTCAGCCTAGCAGGCTGTTGAAAGAGAAGCTCCATCTATCTTGTGAGGGATGATAATACCTTATTTCAGATGCTGTTCTTTGCAGTCTTTTGCATCTCGTAATGGCTTCACACCATGCAAATGAAAGTACGGTACATTGATCCTGAGGATGAAAAGGACTTGCTTTGAAGACAAAAAGCTCCTAATGACGGTGGCTCTCTCCTCATTTCTCTTCCTTTCACTCATCACCTTTTCTCAACAGATGTAAGGAAAAAAGCTGGTAACTTCCAGAGGACGGGAAGCCAAAACACAACTCTCAGCCTAGGAGGGAGACATACAAGACTTTTCTCCACTGTTATTTTAGGACTTCCCAAAACTAATCTGTGTCTCCTCACTTTCCCACTCCCTTTTCATCCCTCCTGCTGCTCATTTCAGTGCTGAGATGAAGCAGTGCGTCTCTCCAGCAGTGAGTCACTGCGAGCTTTTTGTGTCTAACCGTAACTCTGACCTCTAGCATCTGTGCTGCTTCAGGGCTGAATCATCTGAACCTGCGTGCATTAGCTGGACAGAAAGGACAGTCTCTTTTTCACTATTTCATAATTGCAGCGCTCCTATACTTCAGGCCATAACCTCTTCAGAAAGAGAGGAGATGTCAATGTATGTTTATAGGAAAAGAAAAGTATGTGTGACTGAAAAACAGCTTTTCTCTGGCACTAATTGTTTTCCGAGGGCTTTTGCTTTGAAATTCTTAGTAATGATTAATGAAAATGTTTTAGGACGCAATCTGCTGTTGGCTGTTTCAAACTCACTCGGTCCATCTGGTGCATTTTTCTTCATCTCTGCGACTTCTTGTCCAGAAGAAGTATTGCCTCTCTTTTGGTCCTTTCTTACATAAATGTACTGTGCTAGCAGCTTTCCCTAATCCATGCCCCAGATATTACGTTCACTGTTTTTTGCAGGTGCCTCCCCAGTATATTTTCCAGGCAGGCAAGAGGCAACTGTACCTCTGGGTACTTGTTCAGCCTTACAAAACAGCATTTCAGGAATACTGTGCAGAGCAGTTCTGTCTCTTTGCGTCCAAACCTGCCCCTTTCTGGACCTGGAGAAGGCGGCTTCCAGCCAGGTTTCCCCCGAAGAGAGAGGCTTAGCCTAAGTGACCAGAGGGCCCTTCCTCCGTGCACAGGCAGTGCCACGGTCCTCTATGGGGCTGTGCTGTTACAAGCACGCTGCAGCGGACACTGAAGATGCAGAAGAACCGCCATCAGCGTGGGTCCCTGCGGCACGATTCAGGGAGGCCGGGGCTGGGACCGGGCAGGCGGCCCACACGGCTGTCAATGAGCGAGGACCAGAGCTGAGGGAAGGGGCTGACCGCAATTTTCTGCAATGCCAGAGTCAAGCCTGGCTTCTGAGAATGCGTGTGATCCCTTCTGTCAGATGGCTGCAGTGTTAGGTGACTTCCTCAGTGGAGATTTAAAATTTTTCACAGCCCTTTTTAAGCTGACCACCAAGCCCCTTGTATCCTTTGCTGGAAGAGGGCAAATGTCACAAGACCGCACGGATTTGGGGTCTCCCTCGCCCGCAGCATCCTTCATACGCAGCAAGGAGGCTCTGCGAAGCGGGGCCCTGGCCGTGGCTTTGTTTTGTCACATGGCCCTCGGCTCCCACTCGGTCTGTTTTTCCCTGCAGCGTCTCCCACTCGCCGCTGACAAATAAAGCAGAGCTGAGTGCAGTGTGGGGGAGGCTGCCAGATGGCTGCGTGAGGCTGAGCATCATATTTTGCTACCCGTCTTTTGTTTCTTTTTCTTTTTTCTGCGCTTGCCGTCATTATTCAGCTCATTCACTTTTAAATCCTTCTTCGCATCCCTCTTCATCCCAGTCAGTCACCCGCACTCCTTGTTATATAGGAGGCATCCCAAGGACGTTGTATCAGGCATCTGTTACAGCATATGGTCCATCTGCTGCTTTGGGGAGCTCCGAGTGTTTCTGCCTCGCGCTCTTCCATGTGCGCCTGTGTACGTGCGCCTGTGGGATGCCAGCTCTTCAGCTGCCCTCTCTTAAGCAAGGACCCCGTCTGATGCAGTTTGCATTAAAAAATATAGTAAAACGAGGATTCTGGATAGCTGACAGTTTATTTGCTGAGCAAATGGTCCCCTGCAGACAGGATTGCTATAAACTCTAATAGGCTGTATGGCAGCCACAGTTGGAAGCTGCTAGACATTTTCAGCTTTCGGGTGTCTTCGTCACCTCAGCCAGCGTGTTACGCATTTAGGTTTGTATGAACCGAAGCCCTGAACTTCATCTACCTATAGTCAGGGTGAGTGCAATGCTCGTGTCCCTCTACGCTCCAGCTGGTCTACAGTGATTTTCATTAATATTGGTCCACTGGAGGTATTTCTGAAATCTGTTACCGTCATCATGTCTTTAGTATCTCACGTTTTTATGAATTACTTATTTTCCCATGTGAAGAACTTCCAGTCAAAATCAGATCTGTTAACTAGATAAATTATTTTAGGAAAGAGAACAGGACTGGAACAGAAAGAAAGGGAGGGGAGTCATAGAAACGGTTATGGAAGGATTTCAGAAGAAGGGAGAGGCAAAAACAGATTTTCAACAATTTACCACCTCACACAATTGGAAATACATGCTGCAAATTGTATTTGCTAGAAAGTTTTCCAAAAGTTACCACGTCTGGATTGGATAATGAGTTAGAGTCTGACTGATATTTTATGATCCCTGCCCTTTTTACATGAAGTGACGAAGTGCAGAGGAAGCACTAAGAAAAAAGGAGTAATCTTAATTTTTTAAAAATTTCTGTGTTGTTTTTAAGTCACTGGAGGAATCAGCAAAAGATGCTGGTCAAAAAGGAAAATTTATTTATTATCCTAATTTTGCAAGGAGAGACAGGAGGAGAGGGGATACCATTTTTAAAATGTAAACCTCTATTGAAAATGAGCCTTATATTTCAAAGGTGTAAGGTACCCTCCTGGAAGCCTGGTGAATTTTCAGCTAGGTGGAAGGTGTACCTCTAAGCAAGTGATAGGCAAGTTCATCCCTCTCAATACAGATGGGATAAATTGTCCCCCGAGAAGCTTTTCTCTCACTGTTGTTTATGGAGGGAACCTAAAGAAGTAGTGATAACCAGATATGTAACTATTACTTGGCTAAAGATGAGATGAGCCCTGACTTTTTGAAATGAGGAATGAACTAAGATAACATAGGGAGTGAGAAAGTGGAAGAATAGAGGACTGGATGGCAGGAACTGAAGGCATGAAACTGCAGAGCATCGATTTTTGGCAGCCTGAGAAAGGAAGCCTGTAGGAAGGATCTGGGAGGTGATTTGATGGGTAAATTGGGAAGGACTGATGCGAGTTATCTGCACAGGACCTCTCCAGGACCGCCGTGAGCTCTGTTAGCACAGGGACTGTCTGGAATGGCCAGGGGTTTAATGGTGGGATCAGCCTTACCAGTTTACAGGTGAAGAAACTGAGACACAGCACAGTTATTTACCACATTGTTCTCCTTCAGCCACGTTTTACTGAGTATATTACTGTTCTTTGTACACCAAAGTGATCTCTTCTTAGGAGAACATTTTGCCAAAAGGACTATCTAGAAGGGCTTAAAATAGTATGGGGGAAGGCATTCAAATAGCCAGAGGCCTGGAAACCTGGAAATGTCTGAATTGTTAAGTTTTGCTTTAATGCTGTCCCTTTGATGACTTTTAATAAGCTCTTGCATGTCAGTACCTCCATTTCAGCAAACGTAAAGTAGCATTTATAATGCTATTAATGCACTTTGTCAGGGCAGCTGAGGGAATCAGTTAATACATTGGATAAAAGTGTTTATCAGTGTGCCAAGCTCTTTGCTGTGCAAGGATTTCTTATATTAATTTCACCGTCTGGCTTTCTAGGGAAGGACATGGCAGCAGTGCAGAGAACCTTAATGGCTCTAGGCAGTTTGGCAGTCACCAAGGATGACGGATGCTACAAAGGGGATCCATCCTGGTTTCACAGGTAAAGTCCAAAGCGCAGCTGCTCAGAGCTGTCTTCTCCAGGAAGCTGGTAATATCGTCTGCCTTTAGGCTTTAAGGAAATTTATTGGGAACGGAAGGGAAAAATCTTTCTGAAGTTTCCTTGTAATGGAGAGATTTTTCTCTCTGGGGTCTAGAGGAGGGAAGCAAAGACCCAACCAGGCAGCATTTTCTACCCTTCACTGATTCCCGTCTTTGTCAGCATCACTGCTAGGCCCACGTCTTACCATATCTTGTCAGCCTAAAGTTACACCTGGGCAGCAGGGGAGGAGCCCTGTGGGAGCTGTGTTGCGCAGCCACGCTGCTGCCTGTTCTTACGTAGCCCCCGTCACCACCCCTTACGTATCCCTCCTGCCCCGGCGCTGGGACAGCACTGCTGGTACCGGGGCTAAGGAGCGCGTCGCCCATGGCTCCAGCTCTGGTTTCCTCCTTTTGAACAAGGCTGTTATAGGTGTGTTGGTGTGGATGTGTGCGTGCACGCGTGGGGACCCTGCTGGATGGTTGGCTTTCGGTAGTGCACGCAGGGAGCAGCGCGGCGTCCTGCTCCAGGCGCCTTCGTAGCATATCCATCTTGCTGCGTGAGGGGCCCACGCTGACCACTGAAGATGAGACACAATTTTCTCGTCCACTGACGTTATCCCTGACTCTTATTCCCTTATTCCAATGCTTAGGAAATTCAGCCACCAGTTTTGATGACACTCATCTATGTAGCAGCTTCAGCTAATCCTCTATAGCCACTTATGAAGAAAAGGGAACCGAAATGGCATCAGCCACACAGGTGTGTGTGTCCTAAGAGTAGCTGGCAGGAAAAGTGTACTTTTGCCTCACATCAGATAACAGACCAAAAGGCTAATGAAGGCATGGCTCTCATGGGTGTCTGCCAACCCCCCTTTAGTGACCCCTTTACCAAGCAAAGAGAAGGCATGAAGCCTCTTTCCATTTTTCATCAAACCAAAACCAATTTCCTTTCCTAGTCATCTTTTTTCTTGAGGAGTACCACTTAGCTGTGAAGAACTCTCTGTCTTGGCAAAGCTGTTTATTTGCTCTAAAACTCCATTTGTTTTGGCTAGGGAGGCTGAGAAGCGGGGGACAGGAAGAAAAGGAAATCCTCCCGCCTGCCGTTATCCCTCCTGCCCCACAGGCACACTATTGACAGGAGACTCTGCCATCCAAGAGTATTTCTTGTGCCGAAATGTCTGAGGCGTGTTAGCAAAAAGAGCGCTGCCTGCTTGTCTTAGGTTTCCTTGAATTTTCTGATGCCCAGGTGAGGCTCAGCAAAGGAAAGCAAACTTCATTTGGTTTGTCTTAAACCTTGAGCTGGTTTAACTGAGGCTAAGGGAGATGTGGATTTTAGGTGAATAAGTGCAAACTTCTATGCATTCTTCATATGAAATTAGTTTAAATTAACTTAATACGGTCCACAAAGAGATTTGTATTTATTGAATATAATTGGGTTTAAAATTCAAATCCAATTACAAGCTTTAATATAAACCAGACATGAAATCACTATGACCCAGACAGGCTTATTTGTTTTATGTAACTAAAACAAAGTCCTAAATGGAAAAATTAATTTTCATCTGGAATCTCAGTTGTGGGTGGGAACAGTTTTCATTGGCATAAATGAAAATGTGATCACCTCCCTTCTCCCCTAGCTGTCTGTCCTGCCCATGCTGCTTGGATAGCCAATCCATATCTATTGCAGCCCCTGAAATACCATTTTTAAAGCCACCGCCTTAAGGAAAACTGGTGTTATTTCTATAAGGAATTAACATATGGCAGATCAGGAGCTGTTTTCTGAGTAGCTTGCCCATCCATTCAGGCGGATCAAGCCCCCTCACTGCCACCCAGTGTTAGTCGTAAGTCAGGGCTTTCAGGCTGATTCTTAATCACCTTAAGTTAAATTGAAAGAAGTCAAGATTAAATGGAATAAGAGTATCCATGCAGGGATCTACAGTGATTAAGATAACCCCACACTTGAGCTAAGCCGTTTAACTTTCCATTGCCAGTGTCTCACACACCCAGTCCCACCAGGCCTGATTCCCCCTTCCTTGCGTGCCCTAGCGAGGTCCATGGGTCCACGGCTGTTTGGTGTCTCGCAGCGTGGCTGCCACAAGCACTGGTGCAAAGCTGGCATAAAAAGTTAACAGATCTGCATGGTGGGCTCAGTTTGCGGCAAGGGTGATGCCGGCTGCTGGCAGACAGACCAAACAGAACTTGACATAGTGTGAGACGCTGAGGGGAATAGACTTGCCCTCACCTCTTATTCTACAGTCTCAGTTAAGGCTATTTCCACCAACCTAAAGCAAATCGCAAGTACGTGTCGTTATCTGTACAACCATCATATACTAAATGGAGTGCTTATGATGGTAAAAATAACACTATATGATCCAAACTGTACATGTAAACAACTTTTATTAGCATAATCAGATTTCCCTTTGGTCTCTTTTTTATTTTTTCTTCACAGTTCTCATTTTTTTTCCTGTTGGTAGTTACATTTCAACTTTCTGTGGAATTAATCCACAACACAGCTGAAAACTCTAGGAGGAAAAAGAAAAAAAAATAATAGAATGTGTTCCTGGGATTTTAATTAAAATACAGGCAGACACAGTAAACCTGAGATTCAATCAGGTAATAGGAGTAGTTCTAAAAACATCCTCTCGTGGCTATCCTGGCAGTAGTTTGGTGCCCGGGTAAGGATTCTGGAAAAGAAATTAAGCAGCAGAGAGAGGGGGCTGCTTTCTGAGGCGCCCGCAGTTCTGCGTGCCTCCCTCTGAAACAGCAGGCTGTCTGGCAAGAGCTGTGGGATCTGAGAGCCAGTGATGGGCCTCTGTAAGCCCTCTTAATAGTCTGTGCAGTAACACTGGAGACCCATTCTGAAAAAGGACAGGTCAGCACTGGTTTTCTGTGGGTCTTTCTCACCTTTCTGCTTTGCTGGGCTTTGGCGCAGATGTGGGTTCTTCTCCTGCCACGTCCTGAACACCCTGAGCCTAGCAAAGACTTTAAGTGCTTTTTTGGACTTGAGCCAGGGTGCTCAGCACGGTACAGGATCAGACCCTCACGGAGAGGGTCACGTTGGTTGATGATTTTCAATCACAGCAGGCACCTAATCTAGCATTTTCATCTAGTGGTGGGGTGGGGAGAAAAGGGGAATTGTAATGCGATGCCATATTGCAGGGGAACCTGATCCCAGGACTAACAGACAGGGCAGGGAGAAAGATTGTACCTGGGTGGGAGTAGAGCCTGGCTGATTGAAAGCCTCCCTCAGTCTGTGGCTCTGCTGATTCATACGGCTTATTTGGCAGCAACAGGCTGATCCGTCTCCCTTGTAAATGACTTGTTTTCCCCACTTTGTGTAAATGAAAGATTAATCCAAGATGAACAGTTTCTCGCAAGGCAGCAGGGTACAAACTTTTGTGCTTCTTCTTAGCAGCCACTTTTGCCCTCAGTGCTATTTTCAGGGAAAAGAGGCTCCTTTTAAAAGCCAACAAAGGTTCATTGATCCAAAGGGCTTTTGAGACCAGGGACACCGAACAAAAGTGGTCAGTATGTTTTGACAGAAGATAAAGGACTGTCATACAGTTAAGACACAGGTGCAAAGGGCAAAGTCTATTGCTTAGAGGAGAGAGATCTGGAAATGGCAACAGAGCAATTGTTTTGTCCTGCGGGCAACCATCGTCCGCGCTGCGAAAATGAGCAAGTCACTTCTCTGTCCCATTGTTTCTCCGGGTACATTCAGCTCTTATTTACTCCACTGAGTTAAATGCTACCAATTTGTGCTGTTGCTCCAGATGGGTATCAACTTGTATGAGGGCACAGGTAAGTGTCTCATTGATCAGAGCCCACGGACTGCAGCTTTTAAGGGCTATAGGGCTTAACACAAATTAATCCTATCATGAGTGTTATGTACAGTACTACATAAATATTTTACCTGTCATAGCTGCTGGGGAAGTCTCTTGGGGTTCTTGAATAAGTGCTACAGTGAAGGCCTGAAGTGTTGTAGGTTTGACTAGAGCATTACTTCTAACTGCAGGAAAGCCATTAGCCCAGCCTGTGGTGTCCAGCCCACGGGATCGTGCAAATGAAATATTGCATTACAGGGGGAACGTCTGTTAACATGACCCAATTTGAGATTGCTTTTCATGATCCTCTCTCTGGGCATACACAGAATGACGGCATGTCTGTTGCTTTTTTGTGTCTATCTGGACAGGAAAGCACAGCAGAATCGACGAGGATTTTCAGAAGAGCAGCTTCGTCAGGGACAGAACGTAATAGGCCTTCAGATGGGCAGCAACAAAGGAGCATCACAGTCGGGTATGACAGGCTATGGGATGCCAAGGCAGATTATCTAACAGCATCTCTGTCTGCAGAGAAAACACTCCCTCTGCCGCATGGTCTGTTAAAAAAAAAAAAAAAAAAAAAAAAGGAAACAACAAAAAAAAGCTCATTAGTTCCCTTTCTGCCTGGTTTTTAATAGTTAGTGCTCTCCGAGATTTGGGGTACTTTTGGTTTGGTTTGTTTTATTTGCAGCTGCAAGAATTCATCTAGGCACTTGGGTTTTCGTGGTGATGTGTGTCAGTTCACAGCACGTGCGCGCTGCTGCCTCCTACTTTTCACTTCTGAACTATGCAAAGACAATTATTCTGTATTAATTTATTTGCAAAGTGTTATCTTCCATATTTGTCTCACACCGCACTTGTATCTCAACCAGTAACCTCGTTCTTCAATTCAGTGATGATATTGTTTGACCTAAGAATAAAGACAGATTAAACATACCTGTTAGACTCATTATTTAAAGGAGGTGAGAGCAACTAAAACCAACAAACATATGGTACAGTGCTGAGGAGTTAAATGTTTTGAATGGTTGATCTGCCTCATCTCTAACCCAGAGCCCTCTCTGAGTGACTCCTTGCTATAGTGTTTACATGTTCAATTTAGTGTTTGTTTAAAGGCACACCCAATGTATTTTCCTAAAAAGAAGAAACAATATATTATCCATCAAGTCTGATTCATGTAGTCCCACCTAATTTAGCTCAGATTTCGCTTGACCTAGTGTGCTGGGTTGACTGCAGCTGGCAAACTTGTGGATCGAGATAAAATCCATTTCACAGGGAAAGCAAAAGCTGTGTGTGAAAACAGAGCAAAATAAGGAATTAATTCACTGCTTCCCCTTGGCAAGCAGATGTTCAGCCACCTCCTGGAAAGCAGGGCCTCAGCGTGCATCATGGTTACTTGTTACCACAGACATTCCCCTGCCTCCTCCTTTCCCCTGAGCTTTTCTTGCTGACCACGACACCATCTGTATGGGATAGCCCTTTGGTCAGCTGGGGTCAGCCGTCCCAGCTGTGTCCCCTCCCAGCTTCTTGCCCACCCCAGCTGTGGGGGCAGAATGAGAAAGGGAGAAGACCTTGACACTGTGCGGGCACTGTTTAGCAATAGCCACCACACTGGTGGGTTATTAACACTTCTTTAATCACGAATCCAAAGCACAGCACCCTACAGGCTGCTGGGGAGAAGGTGAAGTCCAGCCCAGCCAGACTCAGTACACCCAGCAGCAGGGGAGTCTCCAAACTCAGGGAATTCTTCATCATGAGAGGACAATCTGTCAGACAGAGGCAAGAATGGGCTTTACCTTGTGATAGTTGATACTATATCAAACAAAATGCAAAGCAAGGTGTGTTTTAAATGCAAAGGAAGAAGTAGAAGAAAAGTGCCAGACCTAAAAAACACCCACAGTTCAAATTCAAATAGTTTATGCTCATAATATTATGCTCACCTGTGATGGGCTGTAAATGAGGCTGGTGGTTTGTTTTGGGACACTTTGCTGGAGAATCAAGAGAAGAACTTGCTTGGCATAGTCATTCCGCCACAGAAGCTTCCCAGAGCAGGTTGACCTGCTAGTCAGTGCAGGTTGCCTCATGGCTCTGTGGCACGTACACTTTGGGGATGCACGCTATTTTCTCTGCAGGGTTATTTTGCTGTTAACTATCTCCACCAGCTTCACTCGCAAAGACCAATCACGGCCTCAAGCTGCGCCAGGGGAGGTTTAGGTTGGATATTAGGAAAAACTTCTTCACCAAAAGGGTAGTCAGACACTGGAACAGGCTGCCCAGGGAAGTGGTTGAGTCTCCATCCCTGGAAGTATTTAAAAGACGGGTAGACGTGGTGCTCGAGGACATGGTTTAGTGGTGGACTTGGCAGCGCTAGGTTAACGGTTGGACTCAATGATCTTAAGGGTCTTTTCCAACCTTAACGGTTCTATGATTCTTCACTACAGGCAAGTGGGAAGGGAAACATGATGATTGAACTGTGTGGGCTTTTTTTTTTTTTTAATTCATGACAGACTCCCAAGAAAGCCTGAAAATGTAATATCTGGGTGGGTAACAAATGAAGGGTAATCCGTTCTGACAGCTGTCTGAGTGCCTGCATACTTAGGTAGGGGTGACTTCTGTCTGGATTTGAACCTAGTGGACACACGGTGGCAGTTCGTTGTCCACTAAGCAGCACTGGAGCCAGCGACAGAGACTGATGTGACTTCAGGAGTTTCTACCACTGAGTAAACTGAAGGGGTGATTCCCCCAGCTCAGATGAAGCTCTCTCCTCCCTGTCAGGAGGAGGATGGGAATAACACCTCCCCACTTCAGTCAAGCTTTGCAGAGGCACTGTGGAGCACAGCAAGCGAGAAGTGATGTAAAGGTCACATTACGTGGTTGGGGCTGAGGGGATCTACAGCAGCTGCCACTGAAAAGGTCCTGCCCCCACTTGTACCTCCTCTTACACCTGCCAGGGCATCTTGGCTACTCCACTGTGCTCTTGTCAGGCACTTCTTTGTGTTTACTACCTGTTTAGGGCTGTTTTTCTGTTATTTAGGTGAACTAGCTCAGCAGAGGATCAGATGACCACCCCAGGTGGTGGATCTGGGGTAGGACCTCGGCTTTCAGCAGCGGTGGAGCATTGTCTCAGTGTAAAGTATAACACAAAAATTCCCCCTAGATATTACATTAGGTGTAACGTGAAGAGAATAGCAGTTTTTCTTACTACAAGCAAATAAGCTGATTAAGAAAATCCAGGCTGATGGCAAGACAAATGACTGCCACCAGAAATTTCACCTTTGTGAATGTGAACAGCAACTGTCTTCCCCGGATAGAAACTAGAAGGTCACAGCCACAGCGGACAAAGTGGCCGGATGAGAGGAGCTGGAAGAACCGCCTTGCAGGGAAGAGGTCTGAGAGGTCACGGCCTGACGCCTCTGCCCCACGCCACCCGCACGGGGGACGCAGCCTGCAGGAGCCGGACCTGAGCTTGGTGACCCGGGCCTCCCCACTCCGTTTGGCTGCAGAACTGCCATTCTCTATGCCTGGAAACACCGGTTTTAAGTGCCATGTGCCAATTACATTCCCAGGGTATGTTACTGATTTTCAGTACCCCTGATGCCACACTGTGGCATCACCTGCCCCCCTTCTCTGTCAGATTTTCTCCCGGGCCTTACAGCCAGCAGAGGGGACCTGGGCAAATTCAGGTCCCAGACACTAGCACAGCTGAATCAGACAAGTAGGCAGACCTACTGGTGGGAGCAGGGGTCCATCTAGCCCGGTGCTCTGCCTCTGGCAGTGGCAAAAGAAGAGGCTACTTAGAGAGAGCACTTGAGCCCAGTTGCTTTCTGCAGCCCCTGCCCTTCCTTCTCCATCAGCATTTGCGATTGTTGCAATAGGGTACATCCCAGCAGAAGAAAGACCATGCCCCAGTTAAATGTTCCTTCATCAAAGCTACATTCCCTAATTAAATGTGCTTTCATTAGGTTTGGCATTCTAACAGCCTCATTGAAGTCATAGAAAACATTGTTTGCTTGCACAGCAAAAAAACCCCATGGTAATTTTAACAAACCATAGTAGCAACAACAGTTAAGTGCTCCAGGAAAGAAAATCTATACCCTGTGGCTGCAGACACAGGACCTGGTTAGTGTGGGAACAACAGCAAAAAAGACTGATTCCCCAGGATCTTACTTTTGGTACCCCCTCCCCAAGCTCACAACACATTCTTTCATTACCTTAAACCATCAAACTAGTCTAGCTGTTAATATTTGGCGGTAGATGCTGCCAAGTATGCTTTATTCTGTGGCTTAACCTTAGCCTTCCATATTCCCATATGATATAGAAATATTAATGTTATTATTAATTAAATATTAACACACTCTGGCCTACTAATGTTCTCCTATTAAAACATCTTTACTACTAAGTTTACAAACATCTTAAGCTAAGTAAATTAATATAGTACAAGGCTAGTTTAGTAACCAAGTTAGCAGGAAACATTATTGCTTTTCTTGTATTAAAAATAAACCATTGTAAGTTTGCTTCTAGTGCATCAAAAACATCTAGGCAGGTCTCCTGGAAGCCTAATAAATTTCTATGACAACCTTCTGCATTTTTACTACTAAAAGCCTTGATATACATTAGAATAGAGACATACAGGAGCTCTGAACACGTAGGGAAGGGGATGGGGTAAGGGAGCGCTTGGGAGGGGGTGTGCGGCTGGCCTAGCTATTGGGCTCTCCAAGGCTCAGGGGAGGGTTCCCCCCCGCAGATGATGGGCAACATCTCACTCAAGGCTGTGGGCTCAGTTTGACATCAGCTATGAGCTAAGGTAAGACCCCTCACACACTGCCTATAACCCTTCTTGAAGCCTGGCTGTAACTCGGTCAACTATCCCAGGTTAAAACCAAAATAAAACATTTTTGTGAGAAAGTGCTTTAAATATCTGCGCCCTCTCCCCCCGCCCAGCTGTACCAGAGAAAGCCCCATCACAGCAGGCTGGACCAGAAACACCTTAAACACTGCTGCCCTCATGCTTCAGTTTGCCATACCTGTAGAAATGTAAATGACATTTATCTGCCTTCATGAAGGTTTTGTGACCATGACCTCATTACAGACAATTGCTTAGTAACTTCTTTTCAGTATTAAGGTGGCATCTGATGGCCTTCTGAGAGGATGTTGTACAGGTGTGTGAGTGAGGAAGAACCGTATACATGACTGTGGAATCCAAGTTCACTCCCATTTATAAGGAGAGCAGAAAGAAAATACAAAGAACAGAAAGTCAATATTAAGTTTAGCCAGTTCAATTAAGCTGGAGCTTGAGGACTATTAGGCCAACATAACAAGACATGTTTTAAATAAAAACTAATGAAGGTGAATGGCATGAAGAGGTTTCGCTGTTCGGTAAATTTGTCCGTAGCATCATTTTGCCTTCAGCAGGGCTGCGAGGAGAAGGCGCTGCAGGCAGCAAGGGCACCAGCCAACCCTTCCCTCCTGCCTGCGAGCTGCCAGCGCGGGCTGCCCGCACTCTGGCCACGGCACCTTTGGACCAAGCTGACTTGCTTTACTTAGGCCAAAACAGAGCCACCAGGGAGGAAGGGTGAGGACTCAGGGCATCGGAGTTTCATTTCTGTGTCTGTAATCAACTGCATTTGGCTCTGGCTGCATTGTTTGACTTTGCTGTTTCTGTTGTATGAAAGCAGGGCTAATACTCACTTAATAGTGACGGCTTAAACAGCTCGGGCATTAATAGGATCAGTGATATGGTAATGTCTCCTAGCTAGAAATAAGCTTTAAATATCTTGAGAAGGGAAGTGAGCACCTTTAGATGAAAGAAATTCAGCCGTCGACTCTAAGCCCCTTCTGTGACTGCCGTGGCAGTGCCTGAGCTGGGAGTGAGGAGCCACCAAGGCTGCAGATGAGCCTGTGTACACAGACCCCTCTCCAGCTATTTTGTCTTCTATAAA